AGTAGCCGTAGTAGTCATAGTAGTAGCAGTAACACATATTTTTAATAAAAACTTGAACTATAACTATGTCACTGAATTCAATGTTTCTAAAATACTAAGATCCTATATGTTTACTGAAGATATTTTTTTGTCTCTGAGTTTAAGTAACCTTAATAAATAATAATCACTTTTCAGCGTTTTTTGAGAACTAAATGAGATAATGCATGCAAAATGTTTGACTTTATTGGTTGAAGTAGTACCACATATTTTCAGCAGAACATAAATTATAACATCTTTGTGGTTTATAAAACTCTAAAGAAGATGATATAGGTACATTGAAGTTAATTTCAGAAAGACTAAGTGATTCTAGTTAATAATTACTTCTTTCTATGCTTTTTGTCTAAATTAACTAAGATAATATATGAAAGTATATAATAATTATAAAATAATTGACTCAGTGTGTGACAAATAGGAATCATTCAGTAAAAGGTAGTTATTATTATTGCAACTGTTGCTATTTGTACCTGGTATTTTCTATGGGAGTTGCTTTCCACTTTTTCTTCTTGGCTAAATCAAAGGTTTTTAAAATATCAAAGATTGCTCCATTATACTTGCTAAACTTACTTAACTTTTCTGAAGTTAACTTCACCAAATAACATGTGCCTTTCAGAATTTTTATGAGAATAAATGAGATAATGCATGTAAAATATTTTGTTGCTATTATTGATGTTGCTTATATTTACCTGACACTATAATATCACCTAAATTTCTACTGGGTGACACATTTAAAACGCTGAGAAAGACTACACATTTACTGAACTTGACTCTTCAGAGCTTAACTTCATCCATTAACACAGAACAGTAGTTCTCAAACTCTTTGGTGTCAGGAGCCCTTTAAACTCTAAAATAATTAATGACCCCAAAGACCTTTTGTTTATATGGGTTATATCTACAGTCATGCACCACATAACAACGTTTCTGTCAGCGAGGCACCACATATACAAAAGTGGTCTCATAAGATTAGGACCATCTAGCCTAGGTGTGTAGTAGGCTATACCATCTAGGTTTGTGTAAGTATGTATGATGTTTGCACAATGAGGAAATCCCCTAGTCCATTTCTCAGAATGTGTCCCCATCGTTAAGTGATACATGATTATATTGATATTTATTGTATTAGAAATTAAAACTGAGAAATGTTTAAAATATTTATGAATCACTTCTTTTTAAATAACAATAATGAGCCCATTTAATGTTAACATAAATAATATATTTTTATGAAAACTATATTTTTCCAAAAAAAAAATCAGAGCCAAGACAGGCATTGTTTTAGAGTTTAAAAAATCTCTTTAATGTTTAGTTTTATGGAAAGATAGTTGAATTCTTAGATATGTATCTGCATTCAACCTGCAAACCAACCTGTTTTGGTTGAAGTTTACGGAGAAAATGCGATTTCAAAGACAAATATTTGGAAAAGGAAAAACTAGCAAACTCTTTAAAAGAGTATCATAGGCCCCCAGGATCCTTGAACCACACTTTAAGAACTGCTGACACATATTTTTAACTTTTTTAAAGCATTGAATAAGATAATCAGTGCATATATATTATTATTAATGCTGCTTCAGTTGTTGGTATTATTTATAATTTCCTGATATTGTCAAAAGAACTTGAATTTCTTCTTTGTTGACTGCATTCACAGTTTAAAAAAAAAAAAAAAACTAATGATGGTATAGATTTGGTAAAGTGGTTAAGTTGCCTTACCAAATAGCATCTGTATTATACATTTTTTAACCAAACTGGGATAATACATTTTACATCTGTAATGTCAGTAATGTATGGCTCAGTGCCTGGCGCATAAGATAGACTCAATAAAAGGCAGCTTTAGAATCACTCTTTACTCAATGTACATAAAATTATGCAAATAGATGCTAGGGAAAAAATTGGTTTCACACATCCAATAACAGCTTCAGCTCATCTGGAATCACTCTGCTACCCTCTTTTGTTGTCCCTTGACAAGGCCTACTTTTAAGCCCCAGAATCCCTTGGGAAAGTGAATAAATCTTTTAATAGAAGCAAGCTAACACCACTCCAAGCTGGGCTCTGAATAATGCTGACTTCCACTATCTTATGGTCAGTGTGTGAGGCCTTTCCCAGAGACTTCTGGTGTCTCTAGGAATACCTAGAAGATTGTGCAGCCTTTCCTGTGGGGAATTGACTCTCCACTTCAGCACTTGTTTCCTGAGTGTAGGTATGTTTACCCTTGTCAAGATTCCTCCAGAGTGAATGCAAATCCCCCAGACCAAGTCTCTAGGCTCTAGTTCCCACATTGCTGGGGGGTAGGGCAGGAGGAGAGGTTGGAAGGGGAGCAGTTCCCCTATACGTCTCCTCTGGTCTTGCTATAGGATCCTGAGAAAGTATAACGGAGTTTTCTACCAACATTTTTGTCAGAAAATAGCCTTCTTCTCCACAATTATATCAAAGCGGTGAGTGTTTCCACTCAGGAGTCTAAGTCTTTTGCTCTAGAATTATCACTTCCAAGGTTAGCAGTGGCTACTAAGTCTTGGAGACCTTTATGATCTGAGGACTAATAGCGATTTCATTGTCTGTTTCCGAAAGGATTTCTATGTCTTCTTTTTCATTTTTCAATTTTTAAAATATTATTAAACTTTTTTATGGAGACTTTCAAAGATTACAAAAGTAGATAGAATTATATAATAAAGACCCATGTACTGATCATACAGCTCCAAGAATTGTCAATTTATGGACTATCTTATTTCATCCATACTTCCATACACTTCTCCCTCCCATATGATTTTGAAATAAACTCTAGACATCATAATACTTTGTCCATAAATATTTCAGTATGTATATCTAAAAATATAAGAACTATTTTTCTACATAACCACAATATCAGCATCACTATTAAAAATTAATGAACAATCATTATTTAATATCATCAAAAGGCTAGTCATTGTTCAAATCTCCAGCTGTGTCATGAGTATTTTTAAAAGTTTGTTTGTTCACATCAAGATCCTAAGAAGATCCACATATTATAACTGATTGGTAGGTCTTGTAAGTCTCCCTTAATGTGTAGATTCTCCCTCTAATTTTTTCTTCTGTAAATTATTTGTTTTGAAGAAACCTTCCCTCTTTTCTTAATCCCATATTAGCTTCCCTAACTCCAGAAAACTTCCCACAGCCTAACTGGTCACTAAAACACTTCATGAAGGATAAGCAAATACTGAATTCTTTCAGGCAAGCTTGATCTACACTCTTTCTAGAGATTCCCTTATATTTATGATTTTTGGAATGAAGATTCTAATGATACAAGCTGGTAGCTTTCTTGTATTTTTATAACTCTTAAGAAATGTAACCTGTGTGATTCTATATTCCCAAATGCTTATTGAAATTCCTTCAAGCATTTCATCAAATGTCATGAAAATTGCTTTCTGATACTTGCCATCCTTCCCATCCAGGGTTGAAAGGTCTCTTCACCAGGATCCTATACGGTACTACCTGAGGAGATTTTCTGTTTGCAGTGTCTCCTAGTTTTCAGTCTTTCTTATTTTCTTGAATGGTATACCCATGTTCAGAGTTGTAGGCATGTACCAATACCCCAAGTACACATGCCAAGTTGTAGGCATGTGTACCAATCACATCTATTGCTGCTTCTCACACTATCACTTGGTCTCTTTCTCTAAGAAAAAGACCAGTCATTTTATAAATTCAGTGTCTGAGGAAGAAGGCTTGAAGATCACTTTCCAAATACTCTCTCTTCCTTGTGTATTCCCAGAGATTAAATGCCAATCAACATCCTCAGCCAGCTCTTGCAAAGAAACATTGACTATTTTTTCCCACTTGATCTTCTAGCCCAACACTCTATACCTAATGAAGGGTGTTAAGATAGCTTGTAGGGACTTTCAGTTTCAGATTTGTCAGTTTCCTGTGTGTTCCCCAAAGCCAGCTATGATCTCTGACAGCACACTTCTATCTCCTCTTACAGTTCATAGTGTAGATATCCACCAGCCCAGGATTCCTAATAATCATCTCTCATAGAATCCTAAAAGTGCAATCCGAATTTTCCCAGGCTTCAACTTCCCATGGATATAAGAGAAATAAATTAACATTAAAATTTGAATTGCACTTGCAAGTTATCCCTATCTTGTTCATATTTTCTGCCTGTGAGCATATTTATTAATGGAGATGTTTACATAGAGTACTACCTCTCAGTATTCTTAAAAAAGAAAAAATGCCCAAAATTCCACACAGAAATGGGAGGAGTGCATCTCTCCCAACTCTACATTTCATTCTGTCTCTTGATTTTGAAACAATGTTGCTTATGCCCAGAGTTTCACAAAAACTCTTACTGAAGAGAGAGTCCTTTCAGTTTAACTCCAGACCTCCCAGGCCCTGTCTCCAAAGGACTCACACACAAACTTTCCTCTTCTTGATCCCTTCCCTCGGGAAAGAGGGGAGTGGAAACAAATGTTGTCAGGTAAAAACTCATCTCAAACTCAGTCCAACCAACCCTGATATGCTATTATTACTCTTATAGGTGGTATACACATCATTTTTATTGCACTTGGAAGAAGATATGCTAAAAAATGAATGATTGGTTTTACTAACGTCATTGAGTACAGATGGAAAATTATTCATTCATTCAACAAATATTTGAGTGCCTTCTATGAGCCTGGACAGTTCTAGGAATTAGAAATAAAACAAAACAGGCACAATCCACTCTTACACACACCCATATCTATAACAGTTTATCCCAATAATGGTAATTCCGTGCCTTCTACAGAAATTTGGGGAGCAGGCATATTCCTAACATGAAAAAAGCTGTCATTTTCTGATATCCTACTACTACTCTTTCATGTGACTATCAATTTATGCCATGAATTGCTTTCAACAAATATCAGCTCTAAATTTTCTTCACTAAAATGCTATGGAATGTATGCCCTTGCACAAATCTGTTCAGTCCTTCCATATGCTGTACCAATGTTCTACCTTTTTTGTTCCTTTAGGTGTATCAGTTCCTATTCCAGTGATTGGACTGAGAGATGAAGACAAAGTATTCGTCAACAACACCACCTGCGTGCTGAATGACCCAAATTTCGTTCTTATTGGGTCCTTCGTAGCGTTCTTCATACCACTGACGATCATGGTGATTACGTACTGCCTGACGATTCACGTTCTTCGCAGACAAGCTCTGATGTTACTGCGCGGCCACACCGAGGAGCCACCTGGAATAAGCCTGGATTTCCTGAAATGCTGCAAGAGGAATACAACTGACGAAGAGAACTCTGCAAACCCTAACCAAGATTTGAACCCACGCCGAAGAAAGAAGAAAGAAAGACGTCCTAGGGGCACCATGCAAGCTATCAACAATGAACGGAAAGCCTCGAAAGTCCTTGGCATTGTTTTCTTTGTGTTTCTGATCATGTGGTGCCCGTTTTTTATTACCAATATTCTGTCAGTTCTTTGTGGGAAGGCGTGTAATCAAAAGCTCATGGAAAAGCTTCTGAATGTGTTTGTTTGGATTGGCTATGTTTGTTCAGGTATTAATCCTCTGGTGTACACTCTTTTCAACAAAATTTACCGAAGGGCATTCTCGAACTACTTGCGCTGTAATTATAAGGCAGAAAAAAAGCCTCCCGTCAGACAAATCCCGAGAGTTGCTGCCACTGCTTTGTCGGGGAGGGAGCTTAATGTTAACATTTACCGGCATTCCAATGAACCGGTGACTAAGAAAGCTAGTGACAATGAGCCCGCTATAGAGATGCAAATTGAGAATTTGGAGCTACCAGTTAATCCCTCCAATGTGGTTAGTGAAAGGATTAGTAGTGTGTAAGAAAGAGCAGCACGGTTTCCTACAGTAAAGCTACAAATGCAGGAAAATGTTCTATAATTCTTCTGTTGGGCATAACTAATGTAAATATTGCTGTCCGAAAAAAAGTGTTTTTATATATAGCTTTGCAACCTTGTACTTTACAATCATGCATACAATAGTGAGATTTGGGGTTCTATATTTACTGTTTATAATAGGTTGAGAATAACTTATTTTGATTCTTTGATGCATAAAATGTTGATTTTTTTCTTTCCCTTCCTTTCTTCCTCCCTGCCTCCTCCTCCCCTTCCTGCTCCTCCTCCTCTCTCTCTCTCTCTCTCTCTGTGTCTCTCTCTCTCTGTCTCTCTGTCTCTCTCTCTCTCTGTCTTCTGTGCATGAGGAAATGTTGATGTTCATCTCAGGTGGCATTTGCAGGAGACCAGAATGAGGCACATGACGGTGGTTGCATTTCAACCACATCAAAATTAACAAATTTGGAGGAATCTTTTTCCAGGTTAACAGTAAATATACACTTTAAACTCTTGCTATGCTCATCTACACACATAAACATGGTAAGATAGGTTCTGCCTTCTGGTACTCTATCACAGCTATTAGTGCGTCAAGGGCAGAACTTAGCCTTGTTGTCACACATAGGGACAAAATTTGACATTGCCAGAATGTTGTGTTGGTATTTCACTGCAATGTCTGTCCCTAAACATAGTGGTATTTTAACATAGCAGCTTGTTAACCAGGATTACAGAAGTGGAAGGATTATCTGATATATAGACACCAATAGCTTTTCACTTCTTAATGTTCAAATTCTGATTATGATGACAAGCAAACTGGAATTAGTGTTTTCATTCTGGTCCTTAGTAAATACCTAATTCGATGATTAAACTGGGAAATGAGATCCCAAAGTTATTTCCCAATCCAGGATTCAACATCAATTGGGTTTTGATCTCAGGATCCTGGAAATTCATGTGCTACACACAAAATAAAATTCACATTTTGAGCCTTATTAAAATATTTTCTTAATTATGGTACCTCTATCTATAGGACCTAATTTAGCAGTCCATTTTTGAGTAAAACTTGCATTGGAAGCATAGATGATCAAAACTTTGGAAGTTTTACTTGCTTAAGGACTACAGAATTAGGCCCTTAGAATGTGAAAAAAGGAATTAAAAAGAATCTTACTGAACTCTGGGAATAACAGAAATACAGAGTTTCCATTTCGATTTTAAACAAAATTTATCTCATTTTCAGATCCTTCCAAGCTCTCTAGTGCAGGAAAAGGCTGGGGCTAATTGGTGAAAATGGCAAGCTCTTCGTTGTACTGCAATTATGTACCAGAAGTTTAAATCTTTGTTAAAATATAGTGTTGTGTAACAATGTGTTGGCCATTGTTTCATTCATGGGCCTGCTGCTCTCTAAGAATTCAGTACCATTTTACTTGTTTGTTAACCATGAACAGTTTTCAAGCATTGCTATTGTCAGACCATTAAGTCTATGCTGTGTGCAGAGAATACAAGCGTTTCCAGTAACTGTATTTCCACGTGTGTCCATTTCACACAACCGTGGATCAATTTCCGAAGAATTCATGATGCTGTTTCTTATGCCTGACAGTTACTGACACACATTAGAGTGTGCCTCTCAATATCTTGAAATTGGTGAAGGCAGAACCTGAATTTCTAAAATCCCCAGTCTGTGTCCTCAACACACAGCATAGATAAATCCAACAGTCTGCCACAGGGGCAATGGGAGAGCTGCTGTATTTGAGGAAACTCATACAGTCACTACTTGATTTGCAACACTGCCAAATGTCAGTCTATTGCTTGAGCATGCCCAAATATAACACGAAAGTCTACCTGCCTGTTAGCTCTGTCGAACTGCATGTAAAAACAATTATATGAAATTGAATGAGATGATCTAATTCTTCCTAAAATGAAAATGTCTGAAGAAACACAGCATGTATTGAGCATGAGTTCTGCACATACAGATGGTGTCCTGCATTTATGCCATGTATGTTGCATGATCCATCAATGTGTAGGGCATTAGGACATCAATGAATGTAGGGCAGAGTAGATGATATAAAAAGAACTGAAGAAAATCCTTCAGCAGTCCTTAAAAAGACCATGCATTCAGATCTGAAGTATTATGAGTATTAGAGAAAACTGGAAACATCTGATTTCTTAACTATCAGGGCACGCTCATAGCACATGTTTTACAAAGAAATAAAATATAAACCATGGATTTTTGAAAGCACTAGCAATAAGTTGAATGATAACAGCTTATAGCAAATTTGTTAATAATTCTTATGCCATCAAGTAGTAGTACTTAATAGTACCCAACACAGTAATCATCCTCAAGTTGTGTGCTATTCGTAAGTTCTGTGCAGTTTGGTATGAAATAAATACACTCATTTGGATATAAATCTTACAGTTCAATGTTAAATCTACAAACTTTTATAAATGTTTTAAAAAAGTCCGTGTGATAAATGTAAACGTGGTGAATTTACTGTCAAAAAAATCATTTTGATGTACTATTAAATATGTATTTATGTTGAGGACATGTGCAACAGAATGCCTTATATTATTTCCTGTAAATCTTCTCCTTCATCAAATGGTACTTTTTGTGAGTGGTTGCAAAGTGCTGTCTTATTCCTGGTTCCTGTACGGTATCCACTCCAGGTTTTTGTGATACTTCCTATTAATTTATTAAATTTATTAAATGTTGGCTAATATGTCACCTGTATTTTTCTCCCTGCATCTTTTGAGGGGAAAATATATCACTCCACTTCATTTTCTTTGAAAATTAAATTGTATCCTATAGAATAAGTTCACAAAGACAACCACAACCACAAAATATCGCTCTTCTGAGTACTCAAAGACAACACCACCAGAGGAAAGACAACTAAGAGGCATAACAACAAAAACAATGTTAACAACAACATCACTGATACCTCATGAGCAGAATAACTGCGCTCCCAAATTATCCTACCTTTCCTAACATAAGCAGGGCCCTGGGGTGGCTCACATGTTCTCATTGCTATAGGTATCATTGCTATCTTATTCCCATCAGATTCTCAGCTTCCCAAGAACAGAAAGGACCATGTCTATCTTGTTGATGGTTTTACCCCCATTGGTTAATGGCCACTCTACCTTCAACAGATACATATTGAGCATCAATATTTGTGGGCATTATATTATCTGTTCCTGTTGCCAAAATGGGCCTTACGACTCCCTGCTCTTCAGTCATGCAATGTGACATGATCACCTTAACTTCCCTCCATCCCAAATGGCTTTGGATATGTCTGCAATCATCAGGGTCACCATACTAAGCTGCTCTATTGCTCCACACCTGGAGCCAGAGGTGACAAAATACCTTGGCCTTTTCTTTCAACATTTATACCTTCCTGATGCTGAGTGAGCCTAAGCATTACTGGTATGATTTCAGTTCCCTGAGAACAAAGCAGGAATACGTTGTTCCTTTGCCACTATGACTGGGTTGATTTGGAGGAGTGGATCAAGAGATAAATGTTGAACTGCTTCTTGAAACAACGGGGTCACTGGTGCCTATGGCCAGAAATATCTGTACCACTGAAACTAGGGGCTGCTCTTCCCCAACAGCCAGGCAATGGAGAGAAGTTGAAATTTCTGATGGCACAGAATTGGAGTCTCTACTACCAGAGGAAGGGAAAGTGGGCAGGGAAAGACTGAAGTGCCTCATTCCATAGAATTGGAAGGTCTTTGTGGTCGGAAGAGAGAGCAATGCTTCTTGCTATCAAGTAGCAGTAAGTTTCTGCTTACTGGAGAAACACAGTTTCCACATAGATTCTCAGCTCCCACTTAAGCCAATGCAATTTCCAAAGTTGAGGCCCATTTCTCTTTGTATATTCTCCCTAGACATATGTGAACATATCACCTAGAGGGCTGAATATATTAGAAGGAGGTATTTTTATAGGCAATGCCAATGGGAGTAGATGACATCATAGTGGTTCTCAAATATTATGTGACCTATAGCACACTTATATACATAAATAGCTCTAAGAGATAAGTTGGGTTCCCTGGGATGTAAATTCTGAGATGGAGATAAGTGTGCAGGATGTTTATTGGAACGTGATCTTGGGATCCATATGCACGGGGGAAGGGAAGAAAGCAAGACTGGGCAGAGGGAGAAGTTGGGCTGTGATGTAGTTACAATAAGGACTTATTCCCCCTGCACCTTTGGAAGGGAAAATGTACCACTTTACCTCATTTTCTCTGAAAGTTAAATTGAATTCTGTAAAATAAGCTCACAAAGACAAGTACAACCATAAAGTATCACCCTTCCTGATTAATTCTGCATGTACTCAAAGACTACAACGTCAGTGGAAAGACACGTAAGAGGCTTGAACAACAAAAACAATATCGCACTTAGCTGACTCCCATGGGGAGTCAGAGTTGTCCCAAGTTGAAGAAAGGGGGCCAGACCTCTATACCTCCACTGCCCCCCAAAAGACATGTACGACCTTATGCCAGGCCACTCTCTTCAACAGAGGCAACTCCTATAGGGGGCTTATAGCTGAAACCTGCCAGTCCACAATCATCCCAGCACCCAGGGAATAAACCCTTCAGCCCTGAAGATGGGATCTTGACAGGGTATCATAGCATCCATAACAAATAGTATATTTGCTGAGTAGAGACCTAGTTCACCACCTATATAAATAACATGAAAGAACCTGGATGGGGGTCACTTTAGCCAAAATCAAGGCAAATGGAGGTGAAAAGAAATATAAATTTTTATATGTGGTTTCTCTTCTTATTAAAGGTGTTCTCAATCAACAGCTTTCTCGGATTCTTAGATTTCTGAATCCATCTGGGTAGCTTAGGCTAAGCTGCAGTAAAGAGCAATCCCCAAATCTCAGTGGCTTAACAAAACAAATGCTCATTTTGTGCTCACACTCCATGTCCAATGTGGGTTGCCAGGAAATCTCTTCTCATTATAGTTACTCCAGAAAAAATGATGATAGAAGCTCCGTGGGAAGGGAACTAGTGAACTTATTTCTTCTACTAAAGCTAACCCTACCTTTAAGTTTCAATTTAATCTTAACTCTATCCATATCCTCATGCCTTATCTATAACATTATTTCCACCCTTAACTTTATCCTTAAAA